AAAGTGTTGCATCTAAATATATGATTTGGCTTTAATTGTATCCATGTAACTTGCTCCTTGCTTTAAGGGGTTTATATCATTAGTCAAATGTATTATGTAAACACTGTATATGATTGGTATTGTTTTGCACAAAAACGTTCCAGAATTGATTAAAAAAACATATGGAAATTCAATGGTAAAACCTGAGCATCATCTCTAGCTCAATTTATGTTATTTTTTTCTTCTTTTGCATGTTTCTCAAATATTATCTCGAGTTTTATGTTAATTTAAATCAGTTTTTCCCAACTCAGTTATTGATCTTTGGTCAACTAAACATCAGTTTCGTGGATACTAGAGATGGTATGATCTCTGAGCTGCTGTTGAAACTGATCTAACCCTTGCACAGGTAGTTGTATACAGTGCAAGGGTCATTGTTAATAGCCTTTCCTTTTTCCTAAATCCCTCTCCACCTGACCAAGTTCTAATTTAATTGTATGCTTTGATGAAAGAGTTAACTATATCTTACTGCATCAGTTGTTGTTGCTAATCGCTAACTTTTGTCGAAACAAATTATGTTTTACCACACAAATTGAAACTTCTACTAAGTTGCCTTACAACTCACCTTTGCAGGTGCAAAATACCAACTAGTAAAGTATGTTTTGAGTGAGCTAACCAACATGATAAAAGATGGTTGAAAATCATGCATGTGAGATTGAACATAGATCATGTACATTATGACTCCTTTTTTGTCTCCAAAATCTGTTGTATATTCCTAAAGAAGGTTATTTACAAAAGCTGTTTCAAACTGCATCCTGGGTAGCGAAGAAAGGTGGATATCCGGAAGCAAATAGCCAACTTTGGAGTTTGGATTTCCCATTAAAAATTGTAGATAAACATGAATTAGAAGTACTGTCCAACCAAAAGAAAGAATGTAATCTAGTGAAGAATGACGGCTAGGAAGAAGCAGAAACTTTTGTCCAAGTCAACTCTTTCTAAGAATGATAAGATATTGCCTTGCTTCCCAGACTGTCTTTTTGAGTGTTCAGTGTTCAAAGGTGCTATGAGTTTGATGTCTCTCCATGGAAGGGTTCCCTGATTCTGCTACTTACAGAGTGTTGGCGACCCAAAGAAAGATTCTTCTATACTTTCTCTTTGAGGGCACTTTCCCCTGCTTGTCTTGTTTGTTTATTTGCTTCCCAGATTAGCTGGAGCAGTGAGACTTCTTAGCTCCACGGGAGGCCTACATTGAAAGACCAAACAATTAAAGATAGCGATTGTTACAACCTAGCTTATTTACAATCTAAAACAGGCAAAATGAAATCAACTAAGATAGCAGGGCCATGTATACTAGGGTCCAATTGATTGAATTAATCAGGAAAAAAAGGCAAAAAAGATAGCTAGAAGCACTTACATGTTTAGTGAAACCAGAATGAACGCAGGTCATTCAATAATGAGAGTCTTTTGCAGAGTCCTCTTTATTGCTCTGGGGACCATGATATCTTTTCCTAAGACCTTATATTATTTTAATATTAAGAATGCTTCAGTTTCTTTGATTAAAATTTGGGCAGCAAACAGGAGGAAGAAATAGAGAAACCAAAATCATTTATACGAACACAACTTTGGTTATTGAAGAAGTTCAGGATGGTCTCATCCACCATCCAGTGCAGAATTAAAATCAGCGATTCACAACAAATTAGATAACTATCAGCAGGGACAAAAAATAGAGAAGCATATAATGGAAGTAGATATTGTTAGGCCAAAGAGTTGAAGTTTAGCACTTAATTAATCACGCAGTAAGTATTGGTCATTACTAATTTTAAAGTAAAAGAACAGCATAAACGGAGGGATTGGGCCAACATAAAAAGGCATTCAACTTAGATTCATAAAGGAGGTTATTTACAAAAGCTGTTTCAAACTGCATCCATATCCTGGCAAAGGAAGGTGCAGATAAAAAGGCAAAACCAGATACTTTAGATTCCCATTAAAGCATAGAAATTGTCCAAGCATAAGAAAGAATGCTATAGTCCAAGGAGGAATGAAGGCTAGATATGAAGAAGAAGAAGAAGA